TGACAGCTCCTGCCCTAATAGAGTGTATTATCTAGTGGGGGAAGCAGACAGAACAGCAGGCAATGATGTATGTATTTTATAATAAACGTTAACATAAGGGAACACATAATCCAGATACAAGAGAGCAGGGAGGGCTTCTCAGAAGTGGTATATGCTAAGACTGGAAAGATGAGAAGTTACCAAAGCTAGATGTTGAGGGAACTTCCAGGTGAAGGAAAACATGCTGGAAAGCCTGGAGGTGAAAATATCCCAAAATATAGTAAATCAATGTGAGGGAGGGGTAGCAAGGGGGATGGAATCAAGAAGTAAGACTGGAACAGTAAAGATGAACAATATCAAAACAGAGCCTTTTAAAAAGTTTCTCTTTAGAGTAATGGGCATGCTGTTGAAAGGTTTTCAGCAGAAACATGGAATGCTTACAATTCATAGCTTAGAAAGAGGACCCTGGCAGCACTGAGAATACAGTGGTGGAGCAAGGAGTGAACAAGACGTGCAGAAAGGAGACAAGCAGAGAGTGCCTTGCAGGAATCCAGGCAAAGGATGATAGTGGACTGACACTGGGTAAGAAGCGCTGAAGATGGAGAAAAGTAGGCCTTGGAGAAGGATTTGGTAGCTGGAGGTCAACAGGAATTGGTGATGGATGAGCTGCAGAGGGTGAGGTAGATGGAGGCAAGAATGAGTCAGATGTGGGGTGCAGACAACTTGGAGAAAGGCAGAGTTCCCGCTAAGACAGGCAACATGAGCAGAGAAGGTGGGATGGGAAAGATGAGTTCAAGGCCATGCTCTACCTCTCTAAACAACCTCTCACCAATATGTTCATTCCTCTTGACCCCTTGTCTCCCAGACCCTGACCAGTTCACCAACCTAAATGAATCTAATCATTGGCTTCTCCATTCCTGTCCTAAAAAGGAAAAGCTTGCTCTCAACAGCCAGAAAAGTTTCCTTATTTGTCCACATTGACCCTACCATAAACTTGTGGGTTTTAACCTAAGCTGGGTTCTCAACACCCTAGTGTTGACTTTTTTTCAACCCCACCTGTCTCCAGGGTAGCAGTTTCGAACGCTCTCTAATTTCTCCAAGTCGCCGCTTCTTCTAACAGATGTTCTAACCCATTGGTTCTCAGAGCCTGGTTCCTGGACCAGCATCGTTAGCATCCCATGGGAATGCTAGAGCCCCGCCCAAATTAAACTCCAGGGGTGGGGCCCCCACATTGGAGTTTTCATAAGCTCTCAAGTTTAGGAACCACTGTTCTAATCTATAGGCCTTTTTCTTCTTACGAACTTGCCCCAAGTCCCCCTCCTGCTCTCCTTGCGTCCTTAATTCTTGAGGCCTAAAAAGCCCTGCCCTGGGTTCTCTTCCCAGGTAACCTAGTCTACCAGAACTCTTTCCAACAATCTTGTCAAAACATCCATCTGGATTTCCTCAAACCCGAGTCCAGACCAAATTCTCCTTCTCCCAGCCCTAAGCCTGCTCCATCTTTTATGTTTTTCTCCTGATTAATTCCCTGTTTCAGTTAGTGGCATCACCTCCAGCTCCCAGGCTGGAAATCTCTAAGTCATCTCTGACCCTTTCCCTTCACCACAGAAATCTCTTAAATCCATCTCCCTTTCTATCACTTCTTGTCACAACTTCCATGATCGGTTCCCATCTATTCTCCCAGGCCTTCAGTCTGACTACAATCCTCCACTATACTATTTTCATAATCTTCTTAAAAGGAAAATCATTTTAAAAAAGATATATCCTGAGAAAACTGGACAGCAGCACATAAATCAATGAAGTTAGAATACTCCCTCACACCACACACAAAAATAAACTCAAAATGGCTAAAAGATTTAAATATAAGACAAGACATGATAAACCTCCTAGAAGAAAACATAGGCAAAATATTCTCTGACATAAATCTTAGCAATGTTCTCCTAGGGCGGTCTACCCAGGCAGTAGAAATAAAAGGGAAAATAAACAAATGGGACCTAATCAAACTGATAAGCTTTTGCAAAGCAAAGGAAACCATAAGCAAAACAGAAAGACAACCTACAGAATGGAAGAAAATATTTGCAAACGATGTGACTGACAAAGGTTTAATTTCCAGAATATATAGACAGGTTATACAACTTAATAAAAGAACAAACAACCCAATTCAAAAATTGGAAGAAGACCTAAATAAGCAATTCTCCAGTGAAGACATACAAATGGCCAATAGGCATATGAAAAAATGCTCAGTATTGCCAATTATCAGAGAAAAGCAAATCAAAACTACAACGAGGTATCACCTTCACCAGTCAGAATGGCCATCATTCAAAAGTACATAAATGATAAATGCTGAAGAGGCTGTGGAGGAAAGGGAACCTTCCTACACTGCCAATGGGAATGTAGTTTGGTGCAGCCATTATGGAAAACAGTATGGAGATTCCTCAAAAGACTAAAAATAGACTTACCTTAAATATGATCCAGCAATCCCACTCCTGGGCATATATCCGAGGGAACCTTAATTCAAAAAGACACATGCACATCAGTGTTCATAGCAGCACTATATATAATAGACAAGACATGGAAGCAACCTAAATGTCTATCGACAGATGACTGGATAAAGAAGTTGTGGTATATTTATACAATGGAATACTACTCGGCCATAAAAAAGAATAAAATAATGCCATTTGCAGCAACATGGTTGGACCTTCTAAGTGAAGTCAACCAGAAAGAGAAAGAAAAAGACCATATGATATTACTCATATGTGAAATCTGGGGGGAAAAAAAAGAGGCCACTAATGAACTCATCTACAAAACAGAAACAGATTCCAGACATAGTAAACAATCTTATGGTTACTAGGGGAAAGGGGGTGGGAAAGGATAAATCTGGGAGTTTGATTTGCAAATGTTAGCCACTATATATAAAAATATATATATATAAATAGATTTTTTAAAGTTTCTTTGATATAGCACAGGAAACTATATTCAATATCTTGTGATAACCTTTAATGAAAAAGAATATGAAAATGAATATATGTATATAAATGCATGACTGGGACATTCTGCTATATACCAGAAATTGACACATTGTAACTGACTGTACTTCAATTAAAAAAAAAGACATATTCCCCTTTTAAGTTTTCAATTGACAAAGCATACAGGAAGGATTGTTATGGAACATCCTTGACATTTAATTTGGCTATACTCAAGTAACAGGAGTTGTGTTCCCATAAGCCTTATCACATAATGAGTGCCCAGCAGACATGCAGGCAGTTTGTCTACATTATTGCTAGTCCTATTGGCAACTCTTCAGGGAAGGTGTGTCTTCTTTTCAAAGATCATAATACTGAATTTCAGAGATGTGACTTGCCCAAATCTACCTAGCTAGTAAGCAGAAAAGCTAAAATCTGATCCAAATCTCTTATCCCACCTTGCTGCCTCCTTTGTATGACCACAATCTTACATTAACTTCTGTTAGTTAGCCAAGGTTAGCACCAGTTGAAGTCCATTTCCAGTGCACAGCCATCGTGAGGTAAGCTTAACCGAGCATTCTGGTCTCTAATTTACAATACACTCTAATAAACCACAGATATTTCTTCTTTCCTTACAGATTTTTTTTAAACATACAGCAATAGAAAAAAAAATCAGGAAATGGCAGGCTCTGACTCAGAATACAACGTCATGCTTTGCCATGGGATGGAGTAGGAAGAAATTCTTCATGTAATTACCTGGGCCGGCTGCCAGCTTTCCCACCAATCACGGCTACGCAGGGACACTAGGTAGTTCCCTCTTCTCCCCAGATTGGCGCCACCTTGTAAGATGCAGCAGAGGGTAAACTGAAGATGAGTCCAAAAAGACATGAGGGATAAAAATAGTTCAATTAAATGTTTTTCTTGCTGCTCTGCATATCCTGATTCTTACAGGCCAAACGATACCTCTGTAGAGAAAATAAGACAACAGAATTTAAGAGGCATGCGTATTTTCCTGTCCTGTAAAGTGGTACAAAGGAGAACATGACTCAAGATAAAGAAAGCATCTTTTATAGGTTTATTGGTCCATTACTTTAACTGAGGTAAAGAAACCTTTTTAAAGTTACAAGCTAATAGTTTATCAAGCAATACAAATTCTTTTGTTTACCTCAAAATGTAATACTAATCCCATAGTAAACAATGGACAGAATTTTTTATACACAGATATATGAAAGAAAGTGGACAAAAACCTCATGCCAGCATCAAAAATGCAACAAAAACTTATTTTCTTTTTATAATCTCTGGGTTCCATTAACAAAGAAAAAAAAAGACATTCTTTTTAAAGTTTGGTAGCTTCATGGAACAAAGATGTTGATCTGTAAAGAAATCACTTTCTCATCTACGCACATTCTCAAGCACTTTTTTTTTTCTTCACAGCTTTTGATTTGGCTTAATGGCAGCATGGAGAGAAGAGAACACATTTACACAGAGGACTTTATCACTCTCTCGGGTTTTTTTTTCCTTTTAAAATTTTAAATGTCAAAGAATGATTTCTAAAAATAACACAGTCCATAAGCTGGACATGACCTAAACAAAAGGTTTGTTTTTTTGTTTTCAACAGTTAAAATACAAGTTAGAAAGTTTGCTGGCAGTTTATTTCACGGGAATACATCAGATGTACATCATGTCTCAACGCACTCCCCACGCACGGACATCGAGGGAGCAGGCACACAAGTGCAGGTGCTACTGGACAGGACCAAAACCTCAGGAGTGTCCGGGCGAACGGTGCTGACTGCTAAGAGCTGCTGGTTTGGTATTGGATGAAGGCCCAGCTGACACAGGCCTCGTTTTATGCCACTGATTCACATTGTTGTTTGCAATGTATTTTCCCCTCCCCATTTCCCCACTAGGGAGAAAGTGATCTCCTTTTCCTCCTCCAGTATCATTTGTGACTGGAGGGATGGTATGAGACTCTGAGCCAGCCTGTCAAACAGGGGTGCCAGCAGGTGTCACTTGCTCACAGACCTGGCCTCCAGGGAGCCCAGAATCACCTGGTGAGAGAGCGGCACTGCTGGGGGAGATGCGTGCGTAACACCCAGCCACTGGTCTTAATAGGAAAAGCTCTATTAAAATGGACTAAATTAGGTGGGTCAATACCATATGTTTTATGTTTTTGGCATTTCAACCTGTGGAGAATTTCTATCCAAAATACGCTGCTCTGAGGCCCCCACAGTACCTTTCAAAAAGCTGTTCTCCAGAATCGGGGTAAACTTTTAATATTGTCATGATCTACAGTTCTTTGTACCTTTGTGATTTGTCAATACTGATACCATAATAGCCTCTACAATCAAAAATGTGCCAGAGACACGAATCTTTCATACTTTAAAACAAAAACAAACAAACAATAAAAAGGTTTTGTGGTCCCTGTGTTTCCTTACATTATCAAAAATATCATTTGGCAATAGCAAGACTTAGCTTTCTCCTCCCAAAAGGCGGCCCTAATTATGAACCTCACTTTCTTGCTTGTTTCTTTAAGAACAATGAAGACTGGCTATGTTAGGCCCTCAAGTATTTAAGCTGAACAACTGATTACATTTCTAAAAACTCTTTCTATCCAGAATCTAAAAAACACTAGTCGAAGAATAAGGCATATTAGTAGGTGTTGACAAGTTCTCAAAAAGGAGTTAGGTTTTTTTTTTTTAACAGTCTGTGGCATTTCTAAAAGTCCAGATTTGTTGAGTTTCAAGTGCTAGGTACACAGAATGATTATAAATGAGACAAATAGCTTATCGGTTTGTTAAAGTTATTTTTTCAAAGCACTTATTTACAGGCTATCTATAGTAGTAAAAACTACCTGGATAATTTTTTTTTTTTTTGCCACACAGAAAGGGTTAGACACTCATACCCAGAGAGTATTTCAAACACGTATGATTAAGAAAGAACAGTCGCGGCCCACCTGACACCCCCACCCTTTCCCCATGCAGACAGCCCTGCACACACACCGATCGGTGCAACTATGAGGAGATTAGATACCCTTAACACAGAAAGCTAACCACCTGTTGGGTGGGTTGGTGAAAAATCAGCTTTCTGGTTTATTCACTGAATTAAAGAAAACCACGAGGGAGAGGTGAACAACTCCAACTCCAGCCCAAGCTGTAGGTCTGCCCCGAGGGCTGACATCTCCCTCAAGTTTACTTGCCTTCTGAACAGAGAAAACACAGGAAGTGAGTGTCCAAGCTGGCGCCACCTGGAGGCCTTTTGAAAGTGAGAAGGGGGACCCAAACGTCCAACAGAATTCTGTAGATAGTGATGGCCAAGGCAGTGTGCCTCCAGCCTTATGATGAGATTACCCAGTTTCCACAGACCTTGAATGTTGGCATCTGGGAAGGCAGAGTCCAAGATCCACGTGCCCTGCCCTGACCACAGGTAGACCTGTGTTGGCCTCACCTGTTGGGGTCTTAGGATGAGTCAGAACTGGGCTCTACTCTGGCTGCCCAAAACAGCATTTTCCACCCAGAAGAGAGGCTGCTCTGGACTCCCCTCTCCCTCCTCTCTTGCCAGCTCAGGACAGAGTGCAGAGAATGACCATTGTGCAGTCCAGTGAATGGCATCCAGACAGAGCCAGGTGCCCATGATGTCAATGCTATTGATGGCAGGGCCACGTCACACAAACTCTGGGTGTTTCTTGGGCTGATACCGTCCCAAGAGCGAAGGTCCACATGCAGACCACCACATAGCATCGTGCCCTTCTCTCAACAGAACTTCCTGTCGCCCCATCACCAAAGGTAGCCTCACAAGAAGCGAGCAGCAGGTATGCGTTGGATTCCCTCGTGTGGACGGCCACTGAGAAAACACATTCAACAACACTGTAGAACACACTCCGGGTGTGGCTGAAATTTGGCGTGAAGACAAACTTAGCACACATTCCCCACGATTCCCAGAGTTGTGCTGGCTTTTGTTATTTCAGCTAAAGAAAGGGTTGTGGTGGGTTCCGTGAGCAGCACGGTGAAATATGAGCCAATCACATCCATAATCGCACTTGTCTGAGGTCACCAGGAATCATCAAATCTTACTAAAGGATAAAACCCAATCCCAACCCGGCTGTGTAATCCGTTCTCTCCTCCAGCAGGAGCAGCAGTTCCTTGCTTTGAGCACAGTGGCCTGGAGTCTTCCCTGTAGATCCAGCATATGATAAGGACAAACAGTGTCCGTATCTGCTACAAATCACGACTGCTCTCTTTGACAATCACCTGACTCTCTCAAATCTGCTCTGTTTCTAGGAATTCTCTCTTCCACCTTAGGCTGGATTTTTAACCCAGGTGAGTGGATACTTTTGCTTCCCTGGCCCTAGGGACAGTTGACAGGGATGACTTTCCACTCCACTGCCATGTGTTCAAGCCTGAAAACCTGTCCACGTGCAAGGCAGCACATCCTCAAGCCAAAATCTCCTGGAAAATTAATACAAGAGGGGACTTGGTGATCTCAGCACCACAACTTGGTGGAGCCAAGGAGGATGGGGCGATGAAGCCTCCACGAGGCTGTCTTTGGCACAGAAGTCTCCAGGTTACACTTCTCAAAAGGAACAGCCTTCATGCTGATGGAGCTGAGGAGGGGAATGCTTGGGGCCCGAGGGAGCTGTGGGAGTAGGAAGGGCAGGAGGGCCTCCTCCACTGCCTCCTACCCCTTGCCTTCTGGGCCAGCCTCCTCACCTCATCAGATGCCCGGCCGAAGTAAGGGACAAGGATCCCTTTCCTGGAAAGACCATTTCTCTAAGAAAGGCTGCAACACACCCTGGTTTCCCAAGCTCTGCTATCAGTGGCATGCTGGAGGTCGGCCTGCCTTATTCCAGCTCTCTCTGGGGTCTTAAAGCACAGGGACATCACGTGGGGACCAAACAAATAAAGAGAAAAGCCCAAGATGCCAGAATCCCTTCAGAACCAGTCTTCTGCCTCCGATAATGTAAGGGAATGACTGTGTACCCTGCTCTCTTCCCCAAATGTCCCAATGAGGAACCTGATGGGTTTTGGTTTTTTTCCTTTTGAGGGGCTGCCTTCTTGTGCAACTAACCCTTCCACAGGCATGTCCCTGCGCTTTGGCAACTGCAACAGACTAGAGCCCAGTCTTCCTGTAACTTCTTCCACAGGTCTTTCCAAGCATCCGTTACACTGGACAGTATTTTTCAAGCACACATTCCACCAGGCAAGACCTCACACTCCCACAGATGAGCATTTGGCTCTGGGTCAGTTTGCTGTCTTCTGCCAAATATCAACAGAAGGTCCTTCACTTACTGTTAGGTACATGCCCTGATTCTACCACACGTCAGGTTGGACCTGGCCATCCACACCCACGCCAACATGATGGCTTAGAGGTAGAATGAAACACTGAATCACCGCTCGGGGTCGATGGACTGTTCTGACCCTTCTGCTTCAATGACTCATTTCTAATTGTACCAAACAAAAACTTCACATCAAAGGATTTTAGAATGGCATGAATGGGGTCTGACAGCGCACGTACGTACCAATTGATATGAAAATTATCATTTAAAACCACGACTTTTTTAAACATGATAAGAACAGAACCAAACTGTTCTGTGTTGTCCAACTGCTGCCCCGCCAGCATCACGGCTGTGGCTGGCCCGGGACCAACTCTGCAGCTAGATGCGGAATGAAGTGATTTCAGCAGGCTGCACGGTGACCAGTAAGTGCAGGTTAACTCGCACATGCAGCGGTGTCTCAGCACAGGGTTTCATTAAAATAATACCACTACTCCTGCTGCTTGAGGCTCAGATTTATAATTTGACACAGATGAGCCACAGATGAAAGAACACAAACATGACGCAGGTAGCTTCACTTCAAGAGGGGAAAAAAAACGAGTTGGAAGAGAGATCCTTTTTGTCTGTTTTGTGCTGACACACTTGAAAAGTAAACCTGGTGATAGTTTGAAATGAAGACTCTCGATGCAGCCAGCAGTCCCCAGGAACTGAGCTGCAAATTGAGGAGGTCTGAGCTCAACTAGAAGCAAAGAGTTCACTGTCATACACGTCATCTTTGCGGCCCATCCGGATACAGACTTTTCTTCCTGACCAGGAAATACTAAGGTTAAAGCACTTCATGCAGAGCACCCACACTGAGTGTATCAAATCCTGACTGTATCGTAACAACCCGCCAGCCTCTCGCTGAAAGTTTGCCCGAACACTCAGGGGACACAGCAGGAAACATTAAACTAGGAATTTTCGGTTGAGGTAAAGGCAAATTGCACAAAGCAGACATGGGAGGCGGGGCTCGGGACATGCCCGCTGGGCTCAACCACCGGGGAGCGGCTCCAACTTCAAGACGACGGATATTCCCTAACGGGCCTAATCTCTACCCTGATGACATGTAACGAGCAAAAGAAGAACACTGAAGAACGTCACAGAGAAAAATGCACCTTTTCTTCATTTTACACAAAACAGTTTTCAATCTGCATTTTAGTGTCAAACAAGTTCGGGGAGCACTGCCCCCTCAGTCTCCCAAGGCATCGGACGAGGACAGGGATGCGGGCTTGCTCGCTCTGGTGCGGATGCATCGAGACACTGATCTCAGTGGTCCTGCATGAACCGGAAGCCATAACCCAGGTGTCACTCATCACGGGCAGGCAGCAGGCCAGGTCACGGCTACAGGCCACTGTTCATTAAGGACTTGCCGCTGAGGTGCCGACACCTCCCTGTAGGATGACAAGCCAGGCCCACGGAGGTCAATTCTGGGTCGACTGTGTATCCGTAGAAAGCCAGGGCTGCCTTCCATTCATGCCTTCCTTGCGCCCTTGCAAAGCAGGACCCAGGTTCTCTTCCCCAAACAGGGCACTGTAACGAGATGTCAGACTGTCGGCCGAGGGCTGTCTGGTCCCGCAGTTTCAAATCTTCGCGGGGTCCCCCTGAACAGGCCCCGTCACAACGTGGAGGTATGCTTCTTCCGCTGAGAGATGAGTACGCCTGACAGACGCCACCAAGGAATAAATACGAACTGAAAACAACGGTCGGACGGAGGCGAGGGGAAGGGACAGAAGTACACGGAGGAGAGATGGTTCTGCGGTGGTCCTCTCGGTGCCGCCTCCCTGGCACCGCAGGGACATCCCGGGGTGGGTGCCAGGCCCCGCGCAGGTGGAAGAGTCTCTGTCCCAGGAAGGAACTTACTTGGCCTCTTGCTTCTCCTGCAGCAGCGGGATAATCGACTCCCACGCCATGAGGCACTGCAACGACAACACACACACAGAGCATCAGCGCGGAGAGCGAGACTGAGGGGTCAGCGTCTTCGTCGAGCTCTGATCTACCCTCACATGGCCAGTCCCGCCGGCTCACCTTTGTCTAACGATGCTGACATGTGTTACCCAGAACTGGCAGAAAGAGGGGGAGGTAACAGGTGTTTGTTTTGAATATATCACCGCCCCCCCCACCTCTCTACAAAAGACAGCAGCCTCTCTACGAGGCCTAAATGCACTGTCCATAAAGCTCATGCCAGTGAGTGGAAGTGGCTTCACTTGAAGAAATTTCTTCCCTTCAAAAAGCAGAAGAGAAGACAGGCTGCAAACCCGGGGTGAGGCCCTAGGTTCCCAGCCAGGATGGAGGCTGCTCCAGGTGTGGGTGGTGCTCGCATGAGGACAGAAACCATCTTGGAACGAGCCAGCCACCTGACTCAGAGCTCGGCTTCACCCACCTCACATCTGCTCATCCGGGCCACTCCCGGCTCACCCAGAAGGGAAATGGAGGGGAGGGAACTCTGCATTTACTGAGTTTTATCATGTCCAAACACTGCTATGAATTGTACATTCACTATCGCTAGTCCTCAGAACAACCCTAGGAAGTAAAATTATTATTACAACACAAACACATATTTCATAGGTGGGGAAAATGAGAACGCAGAGAGGTTAAAAAACTTGCCCAAGACACACAGCTCATAAGTGGCAGAGCTCAAGATTCCAGAACGGATGTCCTTTCCACTACACCCATCCCTTTCATTCCAGACCCTTCAGTAGGGCCAAGAACGCGGAGACTGGCACTCTCCTCTGAGAGCACACAGCTTAGCAGAAAGGACCCTCCCTTCAAGCAGCCTCTTGCATAAAGGGGACAGAGGAATTACACAAGGCCTTTCCGAGAAGCAGCCCCAGGGTGAAGCAGGACTTCGTGCTAAGTCATCTGGAGAGAAAATCTGAGGAGGTGGGAGGAGCAGCATCCTTAGGTGAAGCTGGGCAGGGGCCAGCGGGGAGTGGTGACACGGCTCCCTGCTTCCTTCCTTGGTGACCCTGAGGCTGGAGAAGAAGGTGGACAACCTGCCCTACAGAAGGAACCTTGGGGAGCCTGGAGGAGCTTGCTTGCAGCGAGAGACCCAGCGTGGGATCTGCGGCATCCTGGGTTCTGCCCTCTCCCTCGGCCATCATCTCTGATGTGGAAGGTCCTTCCACGTCAGTGATGGAGCCAAGATCACATCAGCTTTCTTTTCAGCCTTTAAACGCTCAAGATTTTTCTCACCTCAGGGCCCTTACATGTGTTGCTCCCTTTGTCAGAATACTCGTTCTTTATCTCCGAGACGCAGGTTAACTGCTGTCTTCTCAGTTTGGTCTTTCCTGCCCTGCCCCGTGCCCCCCACCTGCCCCCTTCTGTCCTGACCTGAATGATGCCCCCCACAACCCCGGTATTTTCTCCCAGTTTCCTGTCCTTCTCCTGTGGAGCACATCTCTCCCTGAAGATGTGGGATTCTTGAATTACTGAGTACCCTCCACCAGACAGAGGGCTCCTTCATGGCAGGATTCCCGCTGCTTTGTTTATCCGTGTGTACCTGGTCCCCTGCATACAGACAGTTCACAAAAAGCACTCATTGAATGAATGCAGGAGCCAAGGCCAGGCCCCAGGACAGGGACCCTGTTTGTGGTGCAGTGGGAAGACACAGATAAAGACCCTGAGTGTGAGTCCCGGAACCCGGGCCTTGGGGACATTGGAATTAATCACCAAGAGGAGGAGTGAGCATCCAGCTGAGTCAGCTCCTGTGTCGTGGGAAGGCCATCAGACAGCGGAGGGAGAGGGAGGGCACTGGGGAAGTACTGTTCAATGAGCACCTACCACGTGCCAGGTGTGGTCGAGGTTCTCAGGTGTGCCTTATTTCACCGTTTCTTCACCACCATTCAGTGGGGAAGGATCACTCCCGTTTTACGGATGAAGAAACAAAGGCAAGAGAGGCACTGCCTAAGGGCTTGGTGAGGAGGGGAAGGAGGCCTTGACTTCACATGGAATGACCTTCCCAGCTTTGGGCAGTCAGGACACATGGCCTCTGCCCTCTTCACCGACAGTGTGTGGGGAGTGGGACTTTTCAGACGTGTGGACTCGGCAGAGCCAAGTCCAATCCTAGTTCACTCACAAGCTTGTGACCTTGAGCAGTGGTTTTAAAATCTTGCTAAGCTTCCCTTTCTTCAGCTTTAAATTGAGATCCCCTAAAACCCACCTCACAGCGAGGTGAGGGTTAGATTTAATGAGATGACATATGCAAAGTATCCAGCCCGGTGCCAACCCCCCACACAGGTGGGGCTCCGCGAGAAAGGTACCGAGAGAAGGAGTTTGCCGCCGCCCCCTCCCCGCTGGAACAGTCCTCCCTAAGACCTGGCAGGTAAGGGCTATTCCATGACACTTCCTTAACCCTCCTCCAAATTAAGATGCAGACACGCTGCCTCGGAGCAGCAACCAGAACCATCAAAGCTCTAGAAAAAGATGGATTCTTCTAGTTTGGGATAAAGACACGTTTCTAGGATTGTGGTGGGAAAAGCTGAGTTAGTCCTTGTTCAGCTTGATTTCAAGTCTACAGGTTACTTGTAGAATTGAGAATGGACCATTCTTCTGTAATTTTAAGTTTTTAGGGAACGTTAGGCTTCACTAGCAGAAATGATCTAGAGCTGGATGTGCTAGGAGCAAACCCTGACTGAGGAGGATACTTGACTGTATGGCAGCCGTGTGTGTGTGTGTGTGTGTGTGTTGGGGGTGCTTAACCTGAAGTCCACAGATCAAGGGGTATTTTTAATCGTTTTCCTTTGTAATCCTACATAACTTTGCTTCAGGTATTTAAAAACAGTATTTCAAAGTCTATTTTAAAAAACAAACAGTATTTGGATAAGGGGTCTCCAGCCGTCACCAGATGACCAATGAGACCCATGACACAATGAAAGTGAAAACCCACTGTGTACAGAACCACAGAACAGCTTAAAGGAACCCTGGAGCCTCCGTCAGCGGGGCATCCCTGAGCCTCAGGCCTGACTGACTCTGGGAAGCAGCCGCAGGAAGGACTAAAGGGCTGGGGAGATAAGGCGCTGCTTCCATCAGCAGGGTGTGCACGGGAGGCCCCTGTGGGCACCAAACCCAGCATCACAGCGGGGCGAGGCTGCGCAGGGGTTACCGAGACCGCAAGAAGGGCAGGAGACGGGCCCAGCGGGGTCCCTGCTTCTGGACCTCAGGCAGGCCCTGACGAAAGGCCCCGGCTGTCAGGAGCGCTCCCTGCAGGAGAGGACTGCCGTCTTGGCAGCACGCTCATTACCTTCTCGTAATAGTGGATGTTCTTGTCGGCCATTCCCATGAGCAGCTGCCGGAAGTCCTGCCTCTTGTTGTTCTGCCACCTCTCCATGTCGGCTTTCAGGTCAGCGTTGAAACACTCCATCCGATCCTGACACTTCTCAACATCTGCTGGTACCTGGAAGGGGGGTGCATATGTACGTGGGTGCTTTGTATGCGTAGCCGGTCCCTCGCGCTCACACATCTGTGAGAGGCCAGAGTACGGCCTTAAAAAATGCCATGAACACACTCCCTCCTCTGTAAGTATTTATCTGCAGGCAGAGCCTCGCGTTTCCAGGTCTAAGAAGGAATTCTGAAAAGTGCTATCCTGACCCAAATCTTCAAACCCAGCCAAGCCAAACAGTGACTTGCGGGGAAAACATCCACCTGTTTACAAACAGGAAGAAGAAATACTGCGATTCACAGTCATACGTCTTTGGTTCCTGGTGGGATTTACCCACCCGTAAGTGAAAATGTGTAAAGATTTTACAAGTATACAGCAGTATTTAGTATTACCCTTCTATGCTTCTTTGTCCCATACTGAAAATGGACAAGAGGATTTTCCGTATGACATGAACTGCTCCATTACCTATGACGTTTGATAATGCCTACCCTCAACCAGAGAATTCACTGCAATTAGAAAATTATTGGCCCACTTTACAAATAAACTGGAGACTTGTCCATGCACCCCCAGATAGCAGAAAATCAAAAATAAAGAATTAAAATTGCATAATTCTGGGGAAGTAGGGGTACATTTGCTTATGCATGTCAAAAAAAAAAAAAACACCCGTGAAATGCAAGGAAAAATACAGCAGGCTATTTCTAGTTTTTCTCAAGGAAGTTTAGAAGACTTTCTCAAAATGGAACTAAGTCCTCTGAATTTCACAGCTCTCATTTTGCTTCTGTGAGTTCCATTCATCCTACACAGCTAGAGAGAGAATATCCAGCATCTTAAGAAGGTAATTGATCACCTGGTACCCAAAGCGCAAAGCTGGCTTCTCTCCTAACTCAAAAGCCCACCGGACTTTGATGGTGGCCAGGGGTCAGCATGCCCAAAGTTGGGTCACACACTCACCTGCCAAATGCTTCCCCAAAACAAGTGAGGCCTTGTACATTTCACGTGCTGGGGCCTCTGATCCCAAGTGTTTCCAAGTTGTGGGTCACCATCAGGGTCAGTCTCTACTAAGGAGGGAAATTTTATACCCAGACCTTATGGTTAAGGAGCTGACCCAGAAAACACCCCGGGCAAGGCCAGGCCTGGGGGGCCCGACCCCTTCAGGGCTTCCACGGTGCTGATGGCACCTGGCTATCCGCCACCCGGACCCTGCCGACATGGCTGCAGGAGAGCAGGGAGTGGGGCTGCCTAGGTGAGGAGTGCGGGGGTTCAGATGTGCCTGGCGTGGGAACTAAACCAGGGAGAGAGAAGGGTGAGTTAGAGAGGAAGGTACAGGGAGGCACCCTGGGCAACTTAAAAAGAAGGAACTTCTAAGAGGCGGGAAAGGCATTCTCCAAAGCACTTAAGCCTCTGGATGAAATTTTAAAAAGGACTTGACTATTTCTCCTGATGCCAGGACTGAGGCCACTTTTGCCTTTCCCTGCTGGTTCACCTCTTTCTGGCGGCCACCTCGGGGGAAACTGAAGTAAAAACAAGAGTGCCCTGGCTTGGCCTCTCCGGAACCGGTCCCTGACAAATGTCCAGGGAACCAGCCTCGACAGGCACCCAGCGAGCCGGTCTCTGGGCCGGCCTCCCCTCCCTCCCTGCAGGCACTGTCCGTTTCCCTTCACCCTCTCCTGGCCACCGCTCATTTTGGTATCTGGGTAAAAGTGCCCCAGAACAACTTCCTGTTTGTGAAACCAAACTCCCGTGGCAGGGAGGGAGAGCAGAGCTCTGAGAGGAAAGCCCCATGGGACGCGGTGTGAAGGGTGGGGCTGGCCCTCTCATTCCAAGGAGTGCTCACGTAGGGAAGATTCTTGCATCCGTTCTGGGGATGGAAACTCTGGTTGACCCCCAGAATTTAAGAGTCAAAACCATGGCTCTGGATTTTATGACTGCCTGAGCCTCGATGTGGGGGAAATACTTTTAATTTATTGTTTTCCCATCACACTCCACACTGAGCACAGTGGGTACAGAGGAGCTGAGGTCTCAGTGGGCAAGTCTGGTCTCAAGTCACCCCGAGTCTAGTTGGGCTGGACATTAAGGGGAGAGGTTCCCAGTGCTCTCCTTTGACTTGGAGCCGTGATGAGCATGCTGTGAGGGGGAGCTGGAGAGTGAGGACAACCTGGACGAGGGGGCAGGCTGCCTTGAAGAAGCACCACTGAGGGGGATTTTAAAAGGTGACAGAAGTGGGATGAATGACTCCAGAGCAGCAGTACATGCAAGTGACAGAGCTGAAACAATGCCTGGACCTGCCTCAGGGACAGCTCATAGGGCACAGAGCCCCCGAGGCAGAGAGGGAACGAGAGGCAAGATGGCGGAGAGGGAGCGGCGAGAAGGTGAGACACCTGGGGCTCTCCCTGAGGGCCAGGGGCGCTGAGGCCCACTTCATTCATGCACCCTTTTTGGAAAACAGAAAAGCCTTGTGCTTCCTCTCATTACAGAGACAGTTCTTTCAGAGTTTGAAGGCCGCACCTGCCCCTTACTAGATGGGTGACGTTGGGCCTCTCTGTGCCTCAGCTTCTCTTTCTGGATCACACTCTTCACCTCACAAGGCAGTAATGAAGTTAAGACGAGACAGGAAGCGTAAGACACTTGGTGCCAGGCACGCACTGAGCGCTCAACAAGTATCTGCTAGTTCTGATCAGTATCAACGTCAGCTGTTCACAAAGGGCCATCTGACATTTGCAGGGCCCCTCAAGTCAAGAAGATTTTACTGAACTTTATTCCATGTCAGATAAAAAGAGGTTTCTTTTTCCATCTTCCAAATATTATGTTATTGAGTATATCCTTTCAAACTTCACACCACCCTTTACCCGTGCTACCTCACCCCAAGATTCCACCAGAGATCAGAGATGGGTCAACACCAACTATACTGGCCTGGGATCAGCGCCAGCGCCTCGGACGCAGGGCGGTGGCTGTGATACGAGAGGGGAGAGGACAGATCAGGCCAACTCGGGAGAGGCAGCGCCGACAGATCTGGCAGCCAGCCGCACGTGAGGAATAAGACACAGGAAGTCAGAGAGGAGCCTGGAGTTCCCAGTTCAGGTGAGTAGAGTAGCAATAGGCCATCGCAGGGCTCAGGGTAAACAGGTCCACCGACCAGACAGAGGAGGTAGCTGCAGCCACGGAAAGGCTGAGGACCCCCTCCACAAGAGGGGGCTGAGGCAGCTCAACAACAACAAAACACACAACCTGATTTTAAAATGAGTAAAGGTCTTGAATAGACATTTCACTAAAGAAGTTACACAAATGGTGACCAAGCACATGAGAAGATGCTCCACATCACTGGTCCTCAGGGAGATGCAAGTTAAAACCACAATAAGCTGCCACCTCACATCCATTAGGACAGCCACTATTAAAAATAAAAACAACAGAAAATAACAAATATTGGCAAAGATGTAGAATACAGGAACCCTTGCACATGTGGAAAAAGTATGACAGTTCATCAAAAAATTAAAAATAGAATCACCGTATGATCTACAATTCCCCTTCTGGGTATATACCCAAAAGACTGAAAGCAGGGTCTCAGACATCTGTTGTTCACTGCCACATTATTCACAACAGACAAATGATGGGAGCAACTCAAGCGTCCGTCCACAGACAAGTGGATAAGCAAAATGTGATATACACATACAATGGAATATCACTCAGCCTCAAAGAGGAAGAAAATTCTGACACATGCTATGACATGGATGAGCCCCGAGGACATTATACTAAGTGAAATAAGCCAGTCACACAAAACAAATGCTATGTGATTATACTTATAAGAGGAACAAGTTCATAGAAACAGAAAGTGGAATGCTGGTTGCCAGGGGCCAGAGGGAAGGGTTGTGGAGCCTTGACAGTTTAATGGGTATGGAGTTTCAGTTCTGCAAAATGAATAGAGCTCCTAGATACTGGTTACACAATAATGTGAATTCACTTAACACTACTGAACTGCACAGCTAAAAATGGCCTAATGGTAAGTTTTATGTGTATTTTGCCACGATTAAAAACAATTTTTAAATACATGGGGGGATAAAAAAAATTACTCAGTCATCAAAAAGAATAAAATAATGCCATTTGCAGCAACATGGATGGACCTGGAGATGGCCATTCTAAGTCAAGCCAGAAAAAGGAAGAAAAATGCCTTATGATATCGCTTATATGTGGAATCTTTAAAAAAAAAAAAAAGAAAGGACACAAATGAACTTTTCTACAAAACAGAAACAGATTCACGGACATAGAGAACAAACTTATGGTGACCAGGGGTTAAAGTGGGTGGGAAGGGCTAACTTGGGAATTTGAAAATCTCACCTCTTGGGGAGGGATGGAAGTGTTAGCTATCTTGACTGCGGTAGTGGTTTCATGGGCGTATACATCTATCAGAATGAAATATGTGTAGTTTACTGTACAGGAACCATAACAGTAAAGGTGTTAAAAGAAGAAAATAGAAAAAAATTAAATATATGGGGGGAATAAAAGAGGAGGCTCAAGAGGGGAGGGTCAAAGGGTAGAACTCATGGAAAAGTCTACATTTATAGGGTTAATAAAAGAATCAGCAAAAGCTACTAAAAAAAAATACAGGCACAGAAGCAGGAAGTGAGTCAGAGAGAGCAGAGCCATAGAAGCTCAAGGATGGAGCAGGTTAGGGGAGGAGGAGGGAGGCGACGGAAGGCTTAAAACGAAGAGAGTAAGAGGCATTGCGTGGGCTGTGGGAAGTGCTCAGCTACCGAGTTTGCCCAACTTTAAGGAGAGGAGGGCTGCTGGCACCAGACACTCAGGCTTGTGTTCCTCTTGTTTTTTGTTTCTTTGTGGATGGTGTCTTTGTGACAATCAACTCACTGACTAGCAACACCCAGCATTCCTTCTTATCTCTTGTGTCTGGAGGGGGTTGAGAAGAGAATTTCCAACGCTAACAATTGGGGGTTTCTTATCACAAGACACTAAGAAGTTAAAAAATCACCAGATAAGACCCCAAAAACAAAAACTTCTAGAGGACA